TGGCAAACCCTTTCTGAACAAACCTTGCCAAGGAAACCCTCCTTCTCTACCCAGCTTTTTTCCCCACCTCACACGTGTCCTCCTGGACCAGGGTTAGGGTTAGGGGTTATGGTTAGGAGGATGAGGACGACAAGGAGGAAAGGTGGGGGGGAAGTGGTGGAGAGAAGGAGGAGGACCAGGAGGATGAGGAGGAAAGGTGGGAGGAGGAGGGAAAGCCGGGGAGAGAAGGAGGAGGACCAGGAGGACGAGGAGGAAAGGTGGGAGGAGGGGAGAAAAGCAGTGGAGAGAAGAAGGAGGATGAGGAAGATGAAAAGAAAGGTGGAGGGAGGAGGGGGGAAAGCCAGGAAGAGAAGAAGGACCAGGAGGAAAGGTGGGAGGAGGGGGGGAAGTGGTGGAGAGAAGGAGGAGGACCTCCTAGTCCTCCTCCTTCTCTCCCCGGCTCCTTCCCACCTCGCACCTCTATCTTCCTCCTCCTCCTTATACCTGGCATATAAGACAACCTCCAACTTTAACCCCAGATGTTCCTAGTTTAAAAAGTTGTCTTATATGCTGGGAAATACAATACTTCAATTTCAGTTGTTGTTGTTAGAGCTAGTGTGGTGTGGTGGTTTGAGCACTGGACTATGACTCTGGAGACCAGGGTTCCATTCCCAGCTCAGACATGAAACCTACTGGGTGACCTTGGGCAAGTTACATGCTGTTAGCCTCAAGGGAAGACAATGGCAAACCTCCTTTGAACAAATCTTGCTAAGAAACCCCATGATAGGGTTGCTTTAGAGTCGCCAAAAGTCAGAAATAACCTGAAGGCACACAAAAACAATGTGATCCCTTCTGGATGCACCCATATTCAGTCTGGCTGCCATATTCTGAACTAGTTGGGGTTTGCAGACTTAGTACAAAGGTAGCACAATGTGTAGCACATTGCAGAAGTCTAGCCTTGAGGCTACCAGTGTGTTCATTACTATCTTTAAGTCATCTTTAGTAATAATAATAATAATAATAATAATTTTTATTTGATACCCCGCCCCTCTGAACACATCTTTAGGTACTTTAAGCATCACCCATTACCACAAAGAATATGCCATTTAAATAATAAACACTCAAACAAACAAATACACACACACATTTTTCAAGGCAGAGCTTTCACTCTGATATTCCTTCCCTTCATACTGAGGACTAAGGAATCAGGTACAAGCCTTGAGATCTGGGAACCTGTGGTTTAGCCTATAAAATCTTACACAGCTTTGGATCAGGCTATCCAAAAGGCTGCTCTTCCCTGTTAGTCCAACTCTTGTTTTAAAGCCTTGGGACCAACCACTTCCAAAGGGATGCTTGGTGGAGATACAAGAGAAATGTTTTTGGTGAACAAAGAAAACAGGAGTTGCCTTGGGCTTACTTCTCAGCTCAGAATTCACACTCAGCCAGATAGTGGGGTCCATTTAGTATTTGAGAAAAGCAAGCAAGCAGATTTCCCAAAGTGTGTGTGCAAATACCAATTTTGAAATAAAAAATGTCATTTTTATTAGTGACACAGATCAAGGGGTTACAGGGAATCCTTATAGAGTCTGCAGATGAGACAAAACTAGTAGTGTGCACATTGGAAGAGAGGAACAGAATTCAAAAGGACCTTAATATACTAGAGAATTAGGCTGAAAGTAACACAATGAAATTCAACAGAAACAAATGCAAAATTTTACATTTCTATAATTTCTACAATTCTACTTTAGAGCCACAGAGATAGGAAGGGGGATACTTGACTTAGCAGCAGTATGTGTGAAGAAGATTTTGGGATTATTGTGGATTATAAATTGAACATGACCCAGAAGTGTGATGCTGCAGTACAGAAAATCAATAATATTTTAGCCTGCTTTAATATAATTAAGTCCCACTATATTCTGTGCCAGTCAGGGCTCACTCAAGTACTATGTTCAGCTATGGATGCCTCATTTTAAGGAAGATATAGACAAGTTGAAATGGCTTTAAAGGCAACAAATATAATAACAGATTTGGAGAAAAAACATATGAGGAAGGGCTGAGGGATCTGGGCAAGTTCAGTCTGGTGCAAAAAAGACTTGAGAAATGGCATGTTCTCACTTTTTAAATACCTCAAGGGATTTAACAGAGACAAGGGTGCAGGTATGTTCTCTGATACCCCAGAGGTAGGACCAAGTCTAATGGTTTTAAATTACAGGAGGGTAAATTTTGATTGAACATTGGAAGGCACTGTTTGATGGTAAGAATGGTTTGGCAATGAAACCAATTCCCTAGAGAGTTGCTGGCGTCTCTTTCTCTGGATGTTGGACAGCTACCTGCTCAAGATATTCTAGATATGCAAGATATCCTGCATTGAGCAAGAGGTTTTGATTGATGGCCCATGATGCCTCTTCCAGCTCTGTTATTCCATGATTATAAATAGAAATGTAATACACTTCAACATAAGTGGGGCAGACTGTGACTTGGGTCCCATTTGTATTACACAATATAGCACTATTTTTTTCATTTTAACTACAACGAGTCCATGCTTATGAAATTCTGGGATTGGCAATTTATTGAGGGACATTTAGAATTCATAGCCAGATTGTTCTAGTGCCTCATGAAACTACAATTCCATAGGATACAACCATGTGGAATAATAGCTCTATAGTTATGTAGTATGAATGTGCTCCAGTGCTAACTGCAGTTGAGCAAAGTCAAGACCCATGCTTTGCCTTCTTCCAGTTATAATAATAATAATAATAATAATAAATTTTATTTATAACCCGCCTCTCTGCATCACAATCAAGGTGGGGAACAGCAATAATAAAAACATACATTTTAAAACATTCCATATCCCAAATCCAACCCTCCCACCCCTTAAAACTGGATTAAACTATTGAAGAATTAAAAACAAAGTAGAATTCAAAGTAGAATTCAATAATAATTCAAAGTAGAATTCAATTCAATAAGTTTTCTTTTTCAGTGCTAGATAATGTGGACAGCTTTCCAAAGACATGGAAGTCACAAAAGAAAGGACATTCAGCTCACAATCACAGGATACCTGAGCACCTTACAGCCACTTTTGGTACGCTATTACAATGTTCATGTATCTAAGCATCGTCATGCACGATTTTCCACTTCTACCATTTACAACATTTAAAGCAGTGTCTAAGTAACATTATCTCTTAGCTACTGTTTTAAAATCTGTTCGGCTTTGTGCTTCTTGGATTGTTCTGAAGGTTTCTCATTAAATAACATGTAGCTGCCATTGCTTCTTTAATTCTGCTCAGCTCACACTCTTGGCTGGTGGGGTAAATGTATTGTGCTTCCTAATCATTTGTTTTACCAGCAGAAGTGGTTTTCATGCTCTCTTAGTAACACTGCATGATCAAGATATAAAACAAGATGGCAGACACCTGTTTCCAGGACTCCCACTTGGTTTGCTATCTGTTCATCACAAATTGAGCTCACCTGGGGTTCAGCTTATGGCAAAATCATGTTCCCTGTTGCAAGACTCGCTAAGCAATAAGTTATGGTGCATCACAGTCAGCTCTCAGCTTCCTATGAGATACACTGGGAGAATATTTCTATTCCTCTCCACATTATCTGACAAGCAAGATATTGTTAAATTAGAAAGAAAAACAATAAGGTGAAGACAAACTGAACTCAGAAAAAGAGAATGCAAAGTGTTATTGTAGCAAAGGGGCATTGCGGGACCTTTGAGATTGAGAGAAAGAAGTTGATAACATTAGCTTTTTTAAACTTCACTCTACTTCCTCAGATGCATGGATTGAAGTGTCCAGGACAGCAGAAAGACAAACACTTCCCAAAGGATCAAATATCTCCAATGGTACTGGTTCTCCAGTGTCCTACATTATGCTGCTCTCTCCTTATATTGTGTGATTTTCTGTAGTGTAATAGTTTTCAGATTTGCAGAACACATGGAAAGTTTTAACTGTTGAAAACCAGGAAGAAACAGGTAAAGCTTTGGAGCTACTGTAGTGTAGTGGCATGAATATTGGACTAGGACCCTGGGAGCTAGGGTTCAAATTCCTGCTCAGCCACAGAAACCCTCTGGATGACCTTAGGCATCACACTCTCTCACCCTGAGGAAGGCAATGACAAACTACCTTTGAATAAATCTTGCCAATAAAACCCAATTGTAGAGTTGCCATGAGTTAGGGTCAACTTTAAAGCATATAACAGCAACTACTATTTACTGAACAGAGTGGGTCCATCAGCCACTTGTTCAGCCCCCCACATATGTTGATACCCTGGGGAGAGTGTGACTGTTCCTGAGTGGGTGGGGCCTTAGTGAGTCACATTTGTGAGGCAATAGGGGTGGAGCTAGCCAGTTAGCTCTATACAACTCCTCCCAGAGGCTTTCTAGGCCAGTTTCTGCCAGGAAGAAGAAGGAAAACAGTGTCTGAGTGAGCAGCCATATTGAGAGGGTGAGTGTTTAAATTCTTTTAAAAAATACTTGGGTTTTTTTCATAGGTCAAGGAAAAGCACAGTACAGGTAGACGAGGGGCTTTGACCTTTCTTTTTAGAGGTTCTCATCATCATCATCATCATTTAAAGGCCTTTGAGGTTGTTATTTTTTGCTCAGAGGAAGAGAAACAGAGATTTGCCTCCAGAATAAGGTCGCATCCAAGAGCTCTCTATAGAGTTAAAAACCCAGTTGTCTGAGCTCACTGACAGAGCCTGGTGAGAAGACCAAGAGAATACCAGTGGTAGGAACAGCTCAGCAGCAACAGCAACAGCAGCAACTGAGGAAGACAAGCTGTGGAGGCAAAGACAAATGCCCACCCAAATCAGTGTCCCCCATAGAAGACAACAGCAGGAGCAACCCCAGCAGTGGTGGCACCAGGACCCAGAGGCAGGCGGAGGCGGCTATAAAACACCACCCACCCCTCCAGCCTGCTCCTGGTGGCAGAAGCGGCTCAGCAGCAACAACAACTGCTGAGGAAGGCAAGCAGTGGAGGCAAAGACAAACACCCATCCAAATCAGCATCCCCCATAGAAGGAAACAACCCCAGCAGCAACGGCGCCAAGATGGCTATAAACAACCCCAGCAGCGGTGGCGCCAAGATGGCTATAAAACACCGCCCACCCCTCTAGCCCACTCCCAGCAGCAGAAGCAGCTCAGCAGCAGCAGTAACAGTAGCAGCAGCAGCTGAGGAAGGCAAGCAGTGGAGGCAAAGACAAGAGAATACCAAATTGCATGAATGAACAAGGAGAATCTTTTCTTCATCATGCCACTAGAACCTGGCTCATCCATCAAATTAGAATGCCACATGCAGTCAAGGTTACCAGTGTGTGCACCTTTAAAGTGGGATTAGATGATTTCAAGGATATTAGAACCATCAAAGGATGAAGGATAACAAAAACCTCCAACATTTCACAGAGGAAAGCTGGAATGCATGTGGTTAGGCAGCCTCAAAGTGTGGTCAAGACGGGGAAAATTATTAATGAGGATGAACACACAAGCTAGAAGAGGCTGTCACAGAGTGCTTTTGCCTGAGATTACTGAAAAGGACAAGATTCTGCCCCTCCTCTCCTCTCCTTCCACTGAGTTGACTGACTGCAAACTAGATTTCCACTTTGAACTGAGTTTGTAACAATTGAAGTAAACTCAGAACAAGGGAGGAAAGTGAGAGAAGTAGAGATAGTGGCATCTACATGC